AGGTGCTGGTTTAGCAATCTTGCAGACCTGCTTTCAATCCCACGCCCAGCCAGTGAGTGGTAACCCCGGCCATTCCTTGCACACAGGTGGAGATTTGGGCAAAATAAAACAGACAGTATGTCACAGCAAATAATATCCATAGTAACAAATGAAATTAAAACTAAATCTTTAATCTTTAAATTTTTAAAAATCTTTAAATCTCTCATTCACACCCCCCCTCTCTCTCTCTCTCTCTCCTTCCGTTTATTTCCCTCTATCTACTTTCCTTCCCTCAATCCCTCTGTCCTTCGCTCCATCTCTCTCTCCTTCCCTCCATCTCTCTCTCTTTCCCTTCATCTCCCTCTCATTCCCTCCATCTCTCTCTCCTTCCCTCTATCTCTCTCTCCTTCCTCCTCTCTCTCTCTCTCCTTCCTTCTCTCCACTCTCTCCTTCCTTCTCTCACTCACTCTCCTTCCTTCTCTCTCTCTCCTTCCCTCTATCTCTCTCCTTCCCTCTATCTCCCTCTCACTCTCTCTCTCCTTCCCCCTATCTCCCTCTCACTCTCTCTCTCCTTCCCTCTCACTCTCTCTCTCCCTCTCACTCTCTCTTTCCTTCCCTCTCACTCTCTCTTTCCTCCCCCCTTCCCCCCCCCTCTCTCTCTCTCTCTCTCTCACTCTACACACACACACACACAAATGAAAGTAAAAAGAGGTAATAAAGTTGTCAAAAAATATAGTTTCCCAAACAGAACTATTGAAACATGGAACAGTCTCCTCAAACACGTAGTGTGTGCCAAAACTGTGCATCAATTTAAAAGTTATACAATTTAAATATAGCAGATGGGACCACTTGAGCTTAACTCTTCTCCCGTATTGAAACAACTAGGTAAGAACACACACACGTGTATGTGCATGTGTATATTATATGTATGTGTATGTGCATGTGTATATGTATATGTGTATGTGCATGTGTATATGTATATGTGTATGTGCATGTGTATATGTATATGTGTATGTATATGTATGTATGAATGAATGTATGTATGTACGTATGTATGCGTGCGCGTGTACAATTCCGTAATCATATTTCAGCACACTTGCTAGGTCCCACTTTCATAAAGCTGGCAACCAGTTCAATGTAAATAGAGTGTTTTTTCTGAACAAGGCGAAAACCTGGGTGTGATTTCTGGAATATAAATAACCAATAAGTGAATTCATTTCCATATTTGCATACTACATAAGCCATTAGGTCTTTCATTTTCTTCAAAAGCGATATCAAACATGCAGTGACGATAAATAGAGGAATTACCATTGTGTTCGTGTGCAGTGTCAATTCAATACTTGAAGATGAGTTACGAAACAGTAAATCGTTTCGATTATTCTGAATGCCCTTTCTCTTGACCTAGAATCTGATCATAGTTTCGCTATTAATCTTCCAAAAGGGCTTGGTGTTTCTATGAGGTGATGCATCCACATGCGAATAGCTGAGCGAGAAAAAGCATGTTTGCTTGTTTCACCCTAGGTCTATATAAGTACAGGTCTCGTCACTTCGGAGTTCTGCGCAGCTTTGGGTGATAAGGCCTATGACGTCACCTGGAAGGAGCTGAGAGCAAGGGGGGCGGGGGGAATTAGAGCATGGTAGGCAGGGACATAGATAATAGAAAATGGTAGTAAATGAGCAGATACTTGAGTAATTTCAGATGTCGGCACGTTGAACGATTTGCTTATTGGACATGTTTTGCAGGCGATGATTATCAGCGATTGTTTAGAGGCCTATATCATATATTCTACGTGAATTTAGTTTTGTAATTCATATGTTGCAGCTTAGACATGGCATAATAAGGACGTAAAATAAATAAAAAAGACATGGCATATGTAAACTCCAAATGTTTTTGATGAATTTATTATAAAACGAATCATACAACAATAATAATGATAATAATAATAATAATAATAATAATAATAATAATAATAATAATGGCAATACATAAATATACACATAAATGTACATATATATGCTGCAACCAACCACTGGGCATTGTGACTTTGCGCGCGCCAGTCAGTCAAGCGAGCGAAAACGGAGAGAGGGAGAGATCCTTACGGCTCTACCTCACATCAAAGAATGACCACACGATTAGCGTGGAACCCCCAGGCTCTGCTCCAGATGACGTCATGCGCGAGACGGACGAATTTGAGTCCCTTAGTGACGAGACCTGTACTTATATAGACCTTGGTTTCACCTTCGTCAACTACAAGCAGGGCGGTTCCAAGGTTTCATATCCAAATTCTAAGAGCCGACTCTAAATATATACAAATGCTATATGATATCAGATATCTTGAAAAGAAATAATTCTGGTGAAATGTGAACTCCATTTTACTATTTCCCTTATATTTGTCAGAGTACGTCTGTTTACAGTATGTGGGAAGATGTAGATGAAATTATCATACTATACTAAAATCAAAGCTTAGATACATTAACTTGATATGCTTATGATAGAAATGGCAATTTCCCTGCGTGTGAAAAGTAATCTAAACGTTTGTTTGTTCACTCGGAATTTGGATAGTTTGCAGGAGGAACTATCTTGAAAATGAAGAACATGCAACTTTTTTACGCCCATAAATATTCATAAATTCCTGAATATTCATTTCGCGGATAATCTTGGTATATGCTAAATAAGAAATAAAATGAGACAAATAGCGTAATAATTACACATGGAAAACCCGAGGTGACAATGAGGTTGCCAAACTGACATCTTTTCCAAGATAGACGAAACGCAAACTGAAATTGCAAATCGAGCCGCATCATTGGGACGAGGAAGTGATTTCTTTTCCGGTGAAATATCTAGAGAGCTGGGTCGATGGTGTACAGGTGAAAAAGGTGGGAGGAGGCACACTGAACGACCGCCCTTCGCCAATGCAGCTTAACCCTTTTAGCCCTGACGGGATCTTTAGATCCTGCCTTAATTTCGTCGCTATTGTAACACGGTTTATTGCTGTAAGCTAGAGATCGCCTGTGGGGAGTCTCAGCACCCATCGTTAATTGTGAATCATCGGTCATTTGGCACCTGCTGTGTTTATATGTCGCGAAAATGACAGATGAATGAAAACTTTTCTTGGCATTGGACCTGCAGAATTTCACCTGTCTTTTCGACCACTTCTGGATGGTTTATAGGGTGAGTATCCATTCTATATATACATAAGTTTTAGAAAAATGTATATTGTTTATTATGAAATCATACTTTTGTGATAAAACTTCATATAAACTTCATATATGGGGAAAATATTGGCGGATATGTTAGCTCCCGACAGGAAGGCGAGTGCGGAGGCGTATATTTCAAAGCTCACTTTTTACTAGTAGATAAGTGAAAGCTGCATATTTGCATGATATGCCGTGTCCTTTTGCTTCTTAGAATGAAGCCTAGTATTCTGATCGCGCATTATATTGTGATTCCCAGTAAAATGTGCATTGATTTTTTCATTGTATTTTTCAGATTCTAAATAAACCAGTAGCAGTATCATAAATCTAGTACAGGTGTCTTGACCTTGTAGATCATCAATATTCCTCGGGTAAGTTGTGAAAAATATTGTAATACTTACCGTTAAAATATAGAAAATGTATGGTCCATAGAAAGTAGATGATGGGCAACTGAACTGTTTTGCATTTTTTTTTTTTTTTTTTTTTTTTTGTAAATACTATCCATGCTGAGACAGTGAAACCAAGTCATATATTTTTTTTACAGGTATGGCAGCACAACCGAGGCCTGGACGACGAATCAGTTTCAGTATTGCTGGAAAATCTCCCGTCGGATTATGGAGACACAGACACTGAAGATGACACAGATGATGAGGCTCCAGGTCCTAGAGACCTTATCAACAATGATCCACTGTCTCGTGCTCAAGAGGAATGTTGCACTATTATCATTGGAGGTGATGAGACGGCTCCTGATGCTGATGTAGGGAACCCTGATATGGATGGAAGGCCTTCAACATCGGAGGATGACCCAACCTCACAAGTAAATAACAAGAACAGAGAACGTCGCAGATGGAGGAAGAAATTACAATCAATGGAAGAGAGGGAGTTTCGACCAGAGCAAATTGGTGCAAACTCAGCTACAAACCCAACTGATGCCTTTTTCATATTTTTTTATGCTGAACTGGTTGACAGACTAGTATTTGAAACAAACTTGTACTGCACTCAGAAAGGAAAAGTTGGAAATATTTCGATAAATGAAATGTATGTCTTTTTTTGGAGTTAACATTATAATGGGCTACCATCGTCTACCTTCACTCCGCCATTACTGGATGAATGGAGATGATTTGTGTCTGGTAACATCCATATGAATGACAATGCTAAATTAGACAGGAAAGACAAGATATATAAAGTGAGACCACTTGTTGAAACTCTGAATGAAAGATTTAGAAACAGAAGAGCACCCAATCAGCATCTTAGTGTGGATGAGTCAATGATACGTTTCAAAGGCAGAAGCTGCCTGAAATAATATAACCCAAATGAAGCCTATCAAACGGGTTATAAACTATGGTGCCTAAGGGATAATGATGGTTATATCAGCAAGTTTGAGATTTACACAGGCAAAAAAGATGAAAAGGAAAAGCCAAACAAACAAAAACTTACCTTGGGTGAACAAATTGTTCTCACAATGACAGAACATCTCCGTGGGAAAAACCACAAAGTCTTTTTTGATAACTACTTCTCATCAGTTCCCCTAATGGAAATATTGCAAGGCCAACATATTCTGGCAGAAGAGACTTTCCTCTTCTAGCCAATGACAAATCACTAAAGAGAGGAGACTTTGACTTTAGGTCAACCCCCAGTGGAATAATAGCATACAAATGGATGGACAGCAAAGCAGTGCACTTGATTTCCAACTACCATGGAACTGAGATTAGCACAATGCAGAGGAAAGAAAAAGATGGAACGAAGGTGGTCGTTACCTGTCCACAAGTCGTGAAAGACTACAATGACTACATGGGAGCGTCGACAAACATGACATGCTTCGAAAA